ACTGCTGCCTGCCCCGCTCGCTCCAAGTGCAGCCACTGGGAAGAGCCCAGTGCACAGTGCAGCCCCTGAGTGAGAGCGCGCAACAGCAGCTTGTCCTCACCCTGTGCACAGATCTGGGGGACATACACATTCCATGCCTCCCCTGGGGTGTGTGCAGCAGTGGCAGCCCTCCTCGTTCACTCCTCTGTCCCCTCCCCTGCACCTCTGGTCATGCTCTGCCCCACCCTGACTGGGCAGCACCTGCACCAGCTCCACTCCCTCCCTTACTGTGGGGGTCTCAGTCTGCCCGCCTCCTTCCCTCACCCAGATTTACCAGCCAACACTGTTCTCCAAGCTGCCAGGCTACATATTGGCAGTTGGATCAGTATTGACCAATATGGCTGGTCAATAATCAGCCATCAGTAGTGGCCAAAAAAATCTTTATTGGTGCTCCCCTATCTGGAACATTTGAGTCAGCGGAAACTCTCAATATCAATTTTTAAGCAGCAGATGGAAAATCGCTAGGTGTTGCTTGTTAGGAGATCTGAAAGAAATTAAATGTGAAATGTACCTACTAAAGGTATTCTACAGACCTGTAAAAACAGTGATTGTTTCCTAGTAAAGGAAAGTGTCAAAGTTCCCGTTACCCCTTAAAAAGAGGCCCAGAGGGAAATCAGAGTGTGGTGAACTTCACCCCATTTCAGGGAAATAGTTTGTTACATTGTTTATGGGTAAAGTACTATGTTGCGTTAGAAGAAACCTTTTTGTTCATTTCCTCTTTGTTTTCAGAACAGTTAATCAAATGTACAAAGGATTGGTCAAATTTAATTCGTATCCTTTTTTTTTTTTTTTATGAATCCTTTCATGAAATTACTGAGAGAAACAAATAATGACTGTATAGAAAGGACAGTGTCCTCTGGCATAGTTTGGCAACCTTTGGCTCATGAGGCAGATCCATTCCACAAAGCTCCAACCTGGCCTTGAGTGACACAGGGGGTCAGACAGCATGCAGTTTTACTGTGCCACCTGTTCCCTCTACAGACCTTCCTGGTGTTCTCTTGTGCCTGTGCTTAACTTTGCTGCAGAGGGGCTGGGGACCAATGGCATGGGTAAGTTCAGGCAGGTTGGGCACTGGGAAGGAAGATTTGTGGCTAGTAGTAGGAGCCAAACTCCAAATTCAGGTTCACGGTGGCAAAAGATTGCTGACCCCGTCAGCTGGAAACAACCATGTATTGAACAGCAGCACTCCCAGACAGAAAGAAGGTAATAGTGGAACATAGTTAAAATTACATTAAAAAATGTAGAGAGAAGTGAACAAAATAAGTAAATGTTACTCTCAGTCCCATGTATAAAATGAATTCCTTGTAAGTGCTATGATCAGTCACCCCAAATTTTGGTTCATAAAAGCTCTGAAGGATTGACTTTCAAAGCAGTGACAGTCACAGTACCCTTAATTTGGATTTCCTAAGATTATGTACATCGATTAAAAAAAATAGTCCAGGCTCGGAACTCAGCAGCAGCATAGTAAGATTTTTGCATTTTTTTCAGAGGGGGGGGAAGCACAGGGTAGGAAGAAGGGACTTAGTGAGTATTGTGAGCAACTCAGTCAAAAGATGTATCCAGTGCATAACAGTAGTAAGGGAAAAATTCAGATAGGAGACCAAGTTGGATTAAAAATGAATTAGGAAATTTTACAGAAAGTACTGCTTCTCTTTAACTATAGATACTATTGTTCAAGGCACAGGTAAATTGACATCTGGAATACTGTGTTCAGGAAGGATAAATTCAAATAGAATACCTTTGGGAAGGACTCTTAGGGGGCATCTCCGTAAGTGGGAACATGCATTTCCCCAGGGACAGATTGAAGTGGCACACATCTGTGTCACTGCTACTTGTCCCTGGGACATGTCCTTGCATGTGCACTTTGGCACATGGCAAGTTGCCCCAGGTGGGGTAAGGGAGGCAGGGGCTCTTGCCTGGGCTGGCACCATCAGCCTTTCCTGTGGGCCTCCTGGGGTTGCAGTGGCAGCAATCTGGGCATGCAGGCTCCAGGTTCAAGTGGCACATGCTGCTACCCCATGCATCACCCAGCTTTTTTCTGGTGTGATTTTTTTTTTTTTGATTGACACTGGAAGATCCTGCTGTCAAAAAAACTTGCCACGCTGCTAATTAGCATGGCAAATGCATGCATATGTGGCACATGTCATATGTAGTGCTGCAGATGGGTTTCTGGTGCCAGAAACCACACACGTGTACCCATAGGGATGTGCTTTTAGGGTCATCAGGGGATAGAGAGTCTGTCTTGAGAAAAGAGATTATAAAGGAGCCTGTATAAAATAACTTGTTTAACCTCTCTCAATAGAATCAGGGAGAGTATGTGATTATTGTGAAACTGTCATGGAAGAGAGTAAGCACCAGGGCGGACAGTGTTCGCACAAGAACAAACGTATATAAGCGGACAACAGATGCATTTAGCCTGAAAATTAACAGATTTCTAATTTTCAAAAGAATGAGCTTCTGGAATAGCCTCCCAATTAGAACAGTGGGGTGGAAGAAACCTAACTAGAATTAAGGTGAAGCTTGATAAGATTTTAAATGTGGTAGTAAAGTGATGTAATAGCTTGTCATAGCTGGGGACTAGACTGGAAAGAAGCTCCTGCATCATCAGCTCCTAGGATCCTGTGATGAGCTTTCATCTCTAATGCTAAGCTATTTCTAAATTTGATTCTCTCATATTGAGAAGGTATAGCAAGGCTGGGAAGTTCAAATAAGTAAGACAAAAATGTGAACGGAAACTTGTTATCTATGGATGACGTGTTGCCAAAAAAAATCATTAAGGTGCAACATTGGCAACATGGAGGGGTGCACGCAAGTGCACAATCACCCCCGAGCTTGGTTGTGCACCCCCTGCCAAAAGCGCTGCCGACGGTGCCGGCGGGCGGTCACTGCTCGCCACCCCACCCTGCTGGCAGTGTCTGTGGGTGGTTGCCAACCACTGGTCGGCGCTTCCCACCCCCTCACTTCCCCCTGCTGCTTGCACCGCTGCAGCTGCCTGCAGGAGCTCCCTGCTCAGCCTGCCCCTGTCAGCGCCATGGCTGCCTGTGGGAGTTCCCTAGTTGCCACCACTGCCGCCAACACTGCTGCCGGGGGCACGTGGCGTTCATTGGGTGCAACGTTAGCTGGCTATTTATCTACATCAAAGCACTAATGAAAAGCAAAACAACTTCTCATCAGAATAGTAATTTATTTGGAGACAGGAATAAGTTACTTATTCCTTTCAAAGTTTAATTTTACATTTTGCCATCGGTTCCAAGATGTGGCTTGCAAAGTGTAGAGAATTCCAAACTTTTGAACTGGAAAGTTGTTACACTCCCTAGTCCATAAAGGTAGAAAAGAAAAATAAAGTCATGTTTCTTGAACTCATATAACAAAGTCCAACAAAACTGTAATGTACCCTTTTACTTGAGAATCTCATTTTGTCTGTTGCCACAGAGTTAAGAATCATTCAGACTAGAAAACTGTAATATTAATAACTTTTTATCTTTCAGATGAATCAACAGAACTTCAAGTATCCAATTCTAGACTGAGAGAAATAGAAAGTATTCAAGCAGCACAAAAGTCTGAGGTAGGCCGCTCTGGAATGCAGGTACTGTATTTGAGAAGGATAAACTGATGCTGCTAAGGGCCAAGTTTAGTTTCCTCTCTGTCTATCAGACACAGCTTTTTTTTTTTTAAAGATGATATCTGTTAAAGAAATTCTAGAAATCAGGGTGACAGATGAGTATTACAGCAATGTTAAAAATCTAAGCTGTGTATCCTACATCCCTGTATCCAGAGAGCCATCATAGCATCCAGGTCAGAGGATGCAAGATTACTCTTGCATTGCCTGTGCCATTTTGCCTTTATTCTAGAGGTGCATTGATACATTGGTCCGACATTGGATCAGCATCTTTCTGGTTGGTAATGACCTGGTATATGGGTGTGTTAAGTGACTGTTACCTCAGATCAAAACTAATTCTGAAGGTCTAATTCCAGCCTGTCATCCTCAACAGTGTAACTGTGTGTACAGGTTTCTAAGTCTGAAAGAGCAAAGTAGGACAACATGAAAAACCTTGAACGCTCGGTTATTAAGCTTTTGCCTGATCAGATAATTCCTTAGGCACACAAGATTCGTTAATTGTCATTTTTCATTTTTCTAGAATGAGAGACTGAAAAAAGTCTGTGGTGATTTGGAAGAAAAACATGAAGCAGCAGAACTTCAAATAAAACAGTTATCCATAGAGTACCGAAATCAGCTACAACAGAAAGAGGTATGTTGGAATATGTCTGTATCTTTCTTTCAAGTATGGAAAGTATATATAAATATGTGTATAAAAATAGATATAGGTTAGGTTTATTTGTGTAATATAATGTCTTTGTCTTTTCAATTAAAAATACCAAACAATCTGGGTTTTTAGTTTGAAACAAGGAAAACTGGCCCTAAACCTCCAAAACTTTATTCTGTAGAATATTCTTTCTTCTGTATTTGTAGATGCAGAGAAAAGTGGGAAGACAGTATTTTGATACTTGTAATAAATAATCTGTGAATTTAATATGCATCTTATCTATATGAATTAAATCTCTTATTCTGTTGGCCTACACACAGTTCATAGTGATATAATGATGAAGGGCCATTCAGTAAATGCTTCACTCAAGATTCAATATTGCAATGATGCATAAACCATAAAGCAAAGATTATGCTTATGACAAAAGGTTATAGAAAATTAAAAAATCAACTTGATCTTCTGCAGCGATGCGCAGATTCACTAGTCTTTCTTTAAACCTGGTTGCGCCCTCGAGTATTGAATTATGTGGAGCCAAACCTGCAGTATACTAAAAGCCTTATGGAGCATAAAACAAACTTTATTTCTATTATTTTAAATAACTTCAGGTGCACCTCAGTCATCTTATTATTTAATTAAAAACCTTTTATTAATAACCTAAAATTTGTTTCAGCAGCTTGTTGCTGAAAACCCTACAGCTTTTAGTGGATCTGGGCCTAAATAGCATAGAAATAACTTTTAGAAAAAGTTTTACGAAGGTCCTTGTGGTAAGGTATTTGTGGTAAGAGGTCAATCAAGAACATCCCTCCTTGGTTGAGTAGGAAGGGGAACACTTGTTTTAATTTCTAAAAAACAAAGACCTCAAAGATTAGTATGTGAGATGAACAAGAATCCAGGTTTTCCATTTCCCATGGGAAAACAGATTAAACTGCGAATTTTACCTTTTACCAGAGGCAAACGTGGATTTCTCAATTTACTGGAGAAACCTGTGGATTTTGCAGTGAGCCCTCTGCAGGCTGGTAGAGTTCCAGCCTTCAGGGGGCTGGGAGAGAGGAGGAGGAGGGTGGTAAGGCAGGGGGCACCATGTGCATGTACACGGCCCCAGGCAGCCTTGCAGGGAAGGGTGGTGGGGGGGCAGTGTTGAGAGTCCCATAGGAATGGAGGGTGGGAGTTGAGTGAGGCTGGGGCTACAATGCGTGTGGCCTCAGGGCCCTGCTGGGGAGTGGAACGAGGCTGCAAGCAGCTCCTTGAGGAGTGGGGGGCAGCGGCTCCTTCCTGCTGTGTGCATTCCCAGGGGTGGGGCAGGGGGGACCCGTGCCCCTCAGCTCTGTGCATGGGGTGGAGGTGGGGCAGGCTGCAGGCTCATGTCGGGGGGGGCTGTTCCCCATGACAGCGTGCACTCCTGGGGGAGGAAGGGGGACCTGTGCTCTCCAGATCTGTACGCGGGGTGTGGGCTGCCTACTTTAGGCTTGTGCTTCCCACCCTGCTGATGCCCCTCAGGCTTCTACAGCCCAGCATGTGCTGCCCGGTGCTGCAGGGAACAGAAGAGCCACAGAGGAAACTGTCTGCCATTGCGACCTCTGTGCTGCCCGTGTTCCCTGTGAGCAGCCCTGTGCTGCCACCCCTGCTGCAGCCACGCAGGCAAGGGATGCCTTGCCAGGGTAGTGCGGAGTTTGAAGTGGCAGGCAGCTTCCTGTGCAGCCCCAGTGTTCTTTGTAGCATTGAGTCACGCATATGGCTATGGAGGCATCAGGGGAGGGCAGCAGGGTGGAAGCCTGCAATGGGCAATGCACAGCCC